TCTTGACAGGGACCAAGTCCTTATTCACTTTAAAGATTGGCTTAAATGTCAAGCTACTAACATGTCCCCCAGTACCATCCATTGTTTGCCTTGGGCTGTTGTTTTTTGTTTTGCAATATGGATGATTTGGAATCAAAGAAATCACTTTCTTTACCAGGGCAGTCAAGTTACTGTTTATGCTCTAGTTGAGTTGATTGTGGAGCGTGCAGCTGAATTTTGGGCATCCCAACCAGCCTCATCTAGTTGTAAAATGAAACAACCTCTTCTAATAGCATGGGACCCCCCTCCACCTGAATGGATTAAGCTTAATACAGATGGGTCAGTGATAGGGAATCCGGGGTTAGGTGGCTGTGGAGGAGTTTTTCGAGATTCGCAAGGTCAATGGGTTCTTGGATTTACTCGAAATATTGGATTCACCACTGCACTTGCTGCTGAATTATGGGCCATCAGAGATGGACTCCAGTTGGCTTTCAATTTGCACTTCAATCATATTATTATTGAAACTGACTGTTATGTTGCTTTCCAGTTAATCTCTACTGCCCCTAATCCTCACCACCCTCTCGGTACCCTTATTCTTGATTGCAGGGCCCTTCTAAACAAGATTCCCTATGCTCGTTTAAGGCATATTTTCAGGGAGAGTAATATGGTTGCTGATACCATGGCCAAGAGGGGTGCGCAGTCTTCATCGAATTTTACTATTCTGTATAACTGTCCTACAGATGTCGAATTGCTTTGTTTAGCTGATGTTGTTGGGATTGGCTACCCCAGAACCTGATTTTGTGTGTTTAATGATATTTCCTTTATTACCAAAAAAAAAAAAAAAAGTTTCTGAGGGACTCTCATCAATAAATTCAGTGGAGGGATTTCCCTTCGAGGATGGCAACTTTTACACATTGCACGATAATTTGCGTGTCACCGACACCGTGTCCACTTTCCATTGCAGCACACACCTTATCGAGGGCGACACGGCTAACAAAGACAAAAAATAGTACGTGTGACCTCACTCCCAACAAAGGAAGGGAGGTTTAAGTTTAATTTATTCTCCGTAAATTAACTGAGTTAATCAATTAAGGACAAAGAATAGTTTATTTGTTTTCAATTTAGTAACATTACATCTTAGATTAAAATTATTTATTTTTTATGGACTGTACGTTTAACTTTCACAAAAATTATTATTTTTTTATTTTTTATTTAACTTATAAATAATTATAATATATTTTTTAAAAAAATCAATCAAGGACAAAGAAGGGTCATTTCATGACTCATCAACTAAATGAAGGGGGAACCCTCGCTACCAATGAAGGATGCCTTGGATTTCCTCTTTCAATTCCGACCTCACGTTTATTATGGAGTTTTTTATTTCAAATTAGTAACTTTAATAAAGTTAATGATGTTAATTACACTACCTAACTCTTTGTATGTTAGCAATTAATCATCACAAAATTAATCAATGTATGGCACGTGGAGGCCGATTAGATTCCACTTTGTTGCCACAAGTTTTTTATTTTTTATTTTTTTGGAAGAAGAGTAGCAGTATTGTTACTATACTAATACGGCCAGTCTTAGGAGAGGGGTAATTTTATTATAAAAATTTTTATTAGGGAAGTAGCTGGGAGAATATTGCATTAAAAAATTAATAAGTATTATATAAAAAATTAATAAATTTTATAGTAAAAGTTTATTAAAATTTTGTTAAATTATTAATTTTTTACATTTAATAAAAAATTGATATAAGAAAAGTTATTACAAAACTTGTCAAGCATGTTTTATAAGTTGAGAATAAAAAAATCTTTTTTAAGCGTGTAAGAAAAAAATTTATAAATTAAAAATTATGCCCAAAATATAAATATTTAAAATGTTCAATTTATCCTCTTTTATTATGATATTAATGTATAAAAATATATACATAATAAAAAAATTATTTTTTTTTTAAAAAGTGACAAAACAACCAAATACTCTATAATTTTTCAAATACTTCCTTTCAATTATTCTCTATAATTAAATCACATCATCCATGCGTCGTATTTAAAGGTGAAGGTCCTAATTAAGATTTTTTATTTTTTTTGAATAAGGTTACAAATATGGAGGAGGGAGACTCGAATTTCAACCATCAACTTGGGGGATGCACTTTACAAGTCGACCTAAGGTCGTTGGTCCGTAAGACCCAAGTGCCCTAATTAAAAATATTTAAATTTTCAGAACTATTAAAAAAAAATGGCAATAATGCGTCAACTTGTCTGCCACTTGACATTTTCATCGCCAATAAGCTTAGATGA